GAAGCAGACCCCCTGCTGAGCAGGGAGCCCGATGCGGGACTCGATCCCGGGACCCCAGGACCATGACCTGAGCCGAAGGCAGTCGCTTAACCAACTGAGCCACCCAGGCGCCCTCTTGCTCTGGTCTTATTTTGCATTTCATTGATTAATAATAAAGTCAAACATATTTGCACATGTCCATCTGCTACTTGGTTTTCTTCACAAAAGTGAAGTTCCTGTTCAAATTTTCTAAACATTTTTCTATTGTTTAAAAAATACTCTTATTGGGATGCCTGGGTAGCTCAGTTGGTTAAGTGTCTGCCTTTGGCTCAGGTCATGATCCCGGCGTCCTGGGACTGAGTCCCACATCGGGCTCCCTATTCAGTGGGGAGCCTGCTTCTCCCTCTGCCTGCAGCAACCCCTGCTTATGCTCTTTCTGTCTCCAATAAATAAATAATTAAATAAATATTCTTATTAATTCACAGGAATTATGTATATTTTCAATAGCAGTTCTTTCTGTTGCATATATCTTAGTCCACTCTGACTTATCCTTTTACAGCTGTTATACTGGTTTTATTTGTCTGGCAAAACAAAAGTTCTAGAAGTTTTGGCTAGATAGAATTTTTTAAAGATTTTATTTATTTATTTGAGACAGAGAGCACCAGGTGTGGGGAGGGGCAGAGGGAGAGGGAGAAGCAGATTCCCCACTGAGCAGGGAGCCTGAGGTGGGACTCGATCCCAGGACCCTGATATCATGACCCGAGCTGAAGGCAGATGCTTAACCGACTGAGTCACCCAGGTGCCTCTAGATAGAATTTTAATATAGTTGAAATTACCAGTATTTCTTTTTATGGCTTCTGTTTCCTATGACTTTTTAAAGAAGTCCTACCACAAAGACAGTATTCTATATTCTCTTTTAAAAACTTCATAAGCCTTTAACCTTTAGATTTATAACTCATTTGGATTTATTTATTTTTTGTTCCAGGTGGCTGTAGTTTCCAAAACCTACCATGTTCATTTATGTGGGCTCTGTTGCAGGTCAGAACAATTGGAGTTGGCTTATGACCCTGCTCCTTGCCCCATGTTCCCCGTTCCCAGGCCCATGGCTGAAGCTGGCACACTTACCATAGTCATTTCTGAGATCTGTTCAATACTGGAGACATAGATAGATACTCCCACGGGCACAGGGGCACCTACAACACAGGAAGACACTATTACATGCAGGGTATGATAAAGCATGGACTCAGGAGCCAGACTGCCTGGGTGTGGGTGTAAATATGTGGGTTGTCTATGTGAGCCTGTTTACCTGTGAATGTATTTGTAAGCAGGTCCACGTTTGAGTAAATGCATGTTCATGTTTGTATGTTAAAGATGCTTTTACATGAGTGTATGTATGTTTGCGTACTGAATGGATGTGTCTGTGTGTCCATGTGTATGAGCATATTCATGTGTAAGTCTGTGTGTGAGCATGTTAAGTGCATGTGTGAGGGAATGTGTAAATGAAAGTGTTTGTGTGAGTGAATGTTGGGGAATGTAAGTGAAATTCTGAGTGTGTGACTTACAGTCAGTGTGAGTGAGCATGTTCGTTGTGTGACTATGTTTGTGTGGGTGACCTTATTTGTATGCAAGTTATAAATGTGATTAGTGATCATGTTTACATACTCACACTCATCACACCTATATATGTGGGTGTCTGAGTGTATATAAGCACCTTTATGTGCTTGAGTGGACGTGTGAGCATGTTTGTGTGTGATTAAATATGAGTGTACATGAGTGTGTTTGTGTGTAATTGAATGTGTGACCATGCTGATGTACAAGTGAGTCCATGAGCATATTCATGTGTGTTAATGTGTCACTGTGCAGGTATGAGTGAATGTGTGAGCATGTTAATGTGAGTGTGTGCATGTGGATGTGTACGTGTGTTAATGTGTGAGCCTGTTCATATATGGGCATGTCTGTGTGAACTGGTAAATAGGTGGATATGATTGTGTGAGCATGTTCACGTGTGTGAGCAAGCTCCTATATGAGTGAATGCATTAGCCTGTTTGCATGCAAGCATGTTAATGTGCACGTATAAGCATGTGCATATCAGTGTATGTGTGTAAGCATTTTTTGCATGTGGGTTAATATGAGTTATTCATCTGTATGAATGAATGTGTGGACATGTTAATATGTATGTCCATGCATGTGAATATCCAAGCATGCGTGTGTGCATCTTTGTATGTATATAAGTGAATTTGGCAGTGCGAGTGTAAGTGAATGTGGGAGCATAAGCATGTGAATATGTCTGTGTGTATGAATACATTTTTTAAAAGAGTTCATTTATTTATTTATTTATTTTTCTTTTTTTTTT